GGCTGGTGATCACCTATGGCGTGTAATTGCATGCTGTCCTGAATGCCACCTGGCAGTCCGGCACCATTCCCTGAGGCAGGGCTGCCTTATTGTATCAACAGTTCAATACTTGTATGGACTGGGTATGGGAGAACTACTATCTTGTGATTCTGGTGCAACACTGGGCAATAGCAAGGTTAGTGACCTTGACTTTGCTAATGTTGATGTCCTATCTGAGTCTCTAGGAACCTTGGTAGTGACTCGATGCATTTCGCAATGAGGCAAAACCCTCGTGCCTTGAATTGCGATGATATTGAAGTCACAGATAGCTCTACCTTCCTTGTTAGCGCAGTTCATGACTGGGCTATAAGTAGATGGACTGCCCAGGCAGCAGGTGCCATGAACTCGGTCGACATGAGTACCTGAAGATGCCAGAAACTGTGCATGTCTTCATGGCCTTGCCAATTTTTCTTAACGGAACCGACACCCTAAACACTAGGGTCTTGATGCCTTTTGCATGTCTAGACTGATATATATGCATTTATTCTTGAGTATATGCATGTCCGTATATGTGAATATTCATTAGGTCGGGCCTCCCGCAATTTTAACAAACCGGCCGTATATCTATACTGTATAACTTCTTCTTTCTCTGCTCCTCCTTCCCGACTACTCCACCCTCAGCATCTTTCTCCCAGTATACTCCGCATCTCTTTTCCGTACATGCCCAAACCATGTCTGTTTCCCCCATATTATTGTCTCCAACCTCTGTCTGTTTCTACAATATACCCATTCTTAATTTTGGTCATCCTCGTTATTCCTGTAAAAGAATTATAGCATTGTCAACGAAGCCTACAAGTCTCACATGTTTCATTGCCGTCTTTTATGTTTGATTATTTAATTTCCTTCGCGGACCTACTACACTCTCCAGTATTTGCAATAGCTAACCCTAAATATTCAAGACCATCCACCGTATCCACCAGCATTCCCCCCAACGGGCACGCACCCAGTTTTGCGTGGTTTGTAATTCCACTTTTACGTTGAACATGTTAAATTTTCCTCGTCCTCATCCTGCATCAAGATCACAATACATTCAATTATCTTGACCTGCGTCATCCCCACATACTTCTCTGCACTCCCGACTTCCTCATGCAATGCTACATCTTCTCTTTTGGTGTCCTGTAACAAATTTTCACTAAATCCGCAGACACACCCTGCAACTCCTAGCTTTCTCAATACTTCCCCATCAGCACTCCAAAAGTAAACATCGTATCTGCAGTGACATGAAGCTGTATTTCTGCTTACGGAGCATCACCTCTCTTCTCAGCCTTCCTCGCACTATTCTCTCTCTCTCATGAGTTTTGTGTTTCCGTAGTTACTGCAGTACTGAATATTGTCCTTACTCTTAAAAGTCGGCATCAGTACACTTCTCTACTTCTCAGGCATCCTCTTAATGCTCAAGCTTTTGTTAAATAATTAGATTAAAAACTCTACTGCCATTTCTTGTAAACACTACCATGACTACCGATATACCATCTGGACGAACCGTTTTTCCACACTTCATCCTCCTGCATAAATCATGACCATGACCAAAAAGTTTGGGCACACTTTTGGCCATCACCCTCACCTGCTTTACACCTTTCCCAGTTTGAGCATTGTGTCTGGTCAGCTGGAAGAAGCCCGTTTTCCGTCATTGGTGATCGACTTTTTATGCAACTCGCAGTTCTTTAACTTTGCCACTTTTCCTCCTTCGTTTTGCAAATCCCGTTACTTCGTTCGTCTCCCAGGCTATCCAACGCCTTTCTCGATTAACCTTTTACTCCTATAACTTTTTCCCACGACTTGCTCATTCCACAAACAAGGCTCATCGCCATCATTCCGCTGTCCAAAAGTCACACCAAGTACTCGCCTAGGTGTTTTCCTCGCCACTTCTGCAGGTAAATTCCCCACTGCTTCGTCGCCTTGTACTTCGTTACCACTCCTCAGCTCCTCTCGGTTTCTCTTCATCTCTTATTCATTATCCGATAGCGTTTAGTTACGATTTCCGGTCAAAGACATCTCTGTCTCCTGCCGCCATCTTTAAAGTCCCTCATGCTGTTTGTCACTTGGTCAAGGCCCAGCTGTGATGTGATTGTTATTATGATTGTGATTATTATCATCATCATCAACAACGTTATCATAATGATGACGACTATGGTGATGATGATGATGATGATAATTATAATGATAATAGTAATGATAATAATATTAAAGGTTGTGATAAAAACAATGATAACGATATAGAAATAATAACAGCAATGATAATGATAATGATAATAATAATAATAATGAAAATAATGATGATAATTATAATAATAGTGATAATGATAATGATAATGACAATGATAATAATGATAATGATAATAACAACAATAATGATAATGATAATAATGATGATAACAGTAATTATGATGATGACGATGATGATTGTGATGATGAAGATAAGGGTAATGATAATGATAATGGTAATTATTCTTATTATAATTCATATCATTATTACCATTATCATTATCATCACTGTTATTATAATCATCATTATTTTTATCATTATTAACATTATTGTCATTATCATTGTTATTATAATCTTCATTATTGGTATTATTATTATTATTATTATTATTATTATTATTATTATTATTATTATTATTATTATTATTATTATTATTATTATTATTATTATTATTATTATTATTATTATTATTGTAATCATAACTATGAGTATTATCATTAACATCATTATCATAATCATATCTATTATTATTACTTTTATCGTCTTCATCCTCATTATCGTTATCAATTTTGATATTGGCATTATAATTATCATGATTATTAACATTATCAATATCATCATCATAATCACCATCATCATCATTATTATTATCAATATTAGTATTGATATAATTATTATCCTTACTATTATATTATTATCATTATCATCATTATCATCACCATAATCATCATCATTATCATCATCATCACTTAATCATTATCATTATCACTATCAATCATCATCATCACCAACATCATTATCATTATCAATATTATAATCATCACCATCATCATTTTTATTATATTTTTTACTATCATTATCTTTATTGTTATTCCTAATATTGTTGTAATTATTATCATTATTATTGTTGTTGCTGTTATTCACATCATTATTTATTGTTGTTGTTATTATTATTAATATTATCATTATCATCATCATTATCATGATCAAGATTATTATTATCATCATTATCATTATTATTACGATTATCATAATTATTATTATTATCATTAACATAATTAATATCATTATTATACTTATTGTTATTATCATTATCATTATTATTTGTATAATTATTATCATTACTATTACTATTGTTATTATTATTATCATTATTGTCATTATTATTGTCATTATCATTATTATTGTTACTATCATTATTATTATAATTATTATTATCAATCTTATTATTGTTATCATTATCATTATTATTATCACTATTATTAGCAGAACTGCTATTATTATTATCATAACAATTACTATTATTGTTGTTATTATTAGCACCATTATTGTTGTCATGATTGGTATTATTATCATTATTTTTATCATTATTGCTATTATTATTGTTATTGTTGTTATTGTTTTTGTTATTATTATTATTATTATTATTATTATTATTATTATTATTATTATTATTATTATTATTATTATATTATTATTTATTATTAATTGTCATTATTGTTATTATAATGATAATCATTATTCTATTATCATCCTTACTATTATTGTTATTATCATTATTATCATAATTATTATTATTATTATTATTATTATTATTATTATTATTATTATTATTATTATTATTATTATTGTTATCATTATTATAATTATCATTGTCATTATTATTATCATTATTACTGTTGTTGTTGTTGTTATTGCTGTTTGTGTTATCATTGTCATTATCATTAATAACATCATTATCAATATTCATAATATTATTGTCGTGATGTTAATCAGAAAAAAGAGGATGTTGACAGTTATTACTGTTTGTCTAACAATTGTGTGCTTCTACCTATCTGAATACCTGCTCTTAAAATGCGTCTTGTCCACATCACAGCATCTATCAGGTAATTTCAATCGTTTTGTATATATTTAACATGTTTGATATGGATACTGCTAACAGGTAGCTTATCACACGTTATCAGTTCTTCCCACTAATTGTCGCGAGAAACACAATTACACTTTTATAGGCCAGATGATTGATTTGTAGTCCATAAAATGTCTGATAAGAATGCCGGTACGTTTTTTTTTTTTTTTTTTTTGTAATCTATTAACTATTTCTAGTAGTGTAATCCTTTTGTACATGCAGTGGAATTCATAAAAGAAAACTTTGACAACTATCTTCAAGGGGAAACTACTTCAAAGAATACATATCCCATTCCACTTCGCTGAACGGAAATTCCGCTGGTAGTAAATTTGTAATAGATATTTTAGATATTGAGAAAAATCATGAGTCTCAAATTGACAAAATTAACTGAGATACAATAATTTTGAAATCTGATATGTAATATAATACGTTCTCCTAGTGAAATTATACACGATAGCTATATGTTCCTAAATTACTGTTTCCAATCAGTGCATACATCTAAAGACTATTCCGAAATATCAATATGCGATCTTTGTTAAATATGATAGGAATAGCTCTGCATTTAGTGCAAGAGGCTATGTATGGGTGTGTCTATATGCGTGTCTGCTGCTGCGTCTGTATACATTTGCTAACGGATAGACACCTGTGTTTGTTGAATGTCTATATGTACTTATGTACAACCGCCATTTTACTGTCACTGTTTTAAAAATGATTGTGGAATATTACTATTATTAGTTGCGACACAACACACACTTTATAACAACCTTCCATAGAATTCGCAAGGTATTATACGAATGGTCCCTCGACTTCTATATACAAGATCCCTCTGGATGTAAACAAACCAGCGTC